TTAAATAGACGAACTTAAACAACATCTTTTCTTCTTCTTCTTTTTAAGATAAATATAGTCATTTGTCTTTATATAATACTCAAATTCTCTCATTTTTCTTTAGATTTTTAATTGCATTCTTTCTATTCCCGAGCAATTTTGAAACGTTCAATTTGTTTTTCCGATTAAATTTTCCAGCAATATATTTTTTAACCAAAATGCCCCTTATTAAAAAAAACAAAAAAAAAACTTAAAGTCACATGACTTGCATGTTATATTTTTGAAGTTTTTAGATTTATTTATTTTTATTTTTTTGCTTTTTAATTATAGATATTTTGATTAAAAAAAAATTATTTGGCTAAAAAAATTGATCAGAATAATAGGTTTAACATTCAAACACTTTCGAAACAAATGAGATGTGATTAAAAATTTAAAAACATATGAGAGACTTTTAGTATTATATAAGGACAGATGAATATATATTTTTTTCTTAGCCCTTGTTTTGTTGAATAAGGAGCACAATTGAAAACATAAAAGTTAGACCATTAAAGCTAAATAAAGTAAATAAAACGAGGACTAAAACAAACTAAAAATAATAAGCCATTTAAAATAGCATTCTTTCAAGTAGCTTCTTTTAACCTCTCTGTTTCTCTTCCCTCTCCACCACTGCTATTTCTGCCTAAGTTATACCTCTCCTTTTTTCAACCATTTTTAGGAGTTCAAACGGACCCTCCTCAACCTCCACCAGTAGCCTGACATGGGAGGGAAGGAATGGCTAGATTCCAGCCAACTTTGGGTACAGAGAGACAAGGTACAAAACTACCTAAGAAAAAAAAAATCCTTAAATGACTAAAACTAAATACCAACCAACCAAAAATAATTAACACACAACAATAATTAAGACCTACATTTTATGCATGAAAATTGAATAATAAAGAGAAAAATTATAATCGACGAAGAAAAAGTAAAAAGAAACTAAATACCAACCAACCAAAAATAATTAACACACAAGAATAATTAAGGCCTACATTTTGTTCATGAAAATTGAATGATAAAGAGAGAAATTATGCCTAGTCAAGAAGGAAAAATAAAACAATAAAATGGAAACAAAGGTTAGATGAAGGTGCTTCTTTATTTATTTTCCTTTGTTTCTAAACAAGAAAGAAAAATTATCTTTCTTATGTTTTACTTTTCTCTTCTCGTTTTTTTTTTATTATTATTATTATTATTTTATTTTTATTTTTTTTCCACACAAAGTTAGAACCAATTCTTTCTTTCAATTTTTTTCCTTGTGTTTTTGTCTTTTCTCTAAAAACTCGGAAAAAAAAAAAAAAAAAACCTCCGTCCAGTTTTACTCAAAACTCCTCTTTTATGGTGCCAAGAAAGGCACATGGAACCTTGCATCTATGGTCATCCTTAACCCTTCGATGTAATAGAATATTCTCGGCCCTTGAACATCCTTACAAGTTACAAATTGTCTTGTACTTCTAGTTTATTGGACAGGGTGTTTAAAGGGCTCTTTTGGTTGTTCGTGACAGTTTTTTTTTTTTTTCGATCCTTAGTCTTTTTGTTTTCATTCAACTTTCTTCTTTTTTTTCTTTCAGTTTTTATTCTTCTAAATTTCCTTTTTTGGCTTCTCTCTTTTTATTATTTTTCAAATAATTTTTATGAAAAATTAAGAAAAAAAATTAACAACATGCTTTAAAAATCACAAAATAAATAAATAAATAAATAAAATAACTTAAAATTTTGAAAAATCATATGTATATATATATATATATATAAGGAAGAAGTACATTAGAAGCTAGCATAACTAATATAAACCTACATTCTTTGATATAAGTTTAATTTCTCAACTCAATTAATTGGAGAAAATTGCATATCATGGTTGCATGAACTTTATAATTGATTTTTCTTGCCCATCTGGTTTCCGAATTTATTTTTCTCTTTGATGCTTTACTCCTGAATAATTAATCAATTAAGCGTTCCAAATTTGACTTCTTCTTGACTGTTTATTTCAATTCTTGCTGAATTTTTAATTTCTTTAGCGAAGCATTTCAACTCGGAATGTTTTTCAATCATGTACCCAAATTCCCCATATCAATTTATTATATGTTTCTTACATATAATTAATATCTACCTCCAGGTAAGTTTTTTTTTAAAAAAAAAATTTCTTACCCTACATAGATTGAACAAATAAATATCATATGCTGGTCATGCATTAATTAATTTTATCCGGTTTATTAATTATATTGTTAGTATATATATACACACATACATACTTGTTTTGTATATGCAGACTGCATGTATTAAAGGAAATGAAATATCAAACCCAATATTATTAATTAAACAGTTAAAAAATGCAATTAAATTGAAAAACTTTAGACGAACAGAAAATACTCAATTCTGCAGCTACTCATGATCAATTCCCCTAGAGCAAAACAAAAATACAAAGAAACATATTTTTTATGCCATACGGTGGACTAAATGTGACATAAGCCCACAGATTAGTTTGCCACAGAAATAATTTCCAAAGGGGAAGATCATCAAATTACAAGCAGGATTGAATCTTCCTAAATTTCCACTACTTTATGTCTGGTTCTTGATCTAACATGTCTTGCAAGTTGTATCAAATTGTTTTTCATTTCTTAATGTAATTTTATATCTTTTGTTTGAATTGTACTTGATACCTATATGGGTTGGTGGATGCAGTGGCTATAAGCCGTAAAGTAGAGACGACAATTGGATGAAATAGAATTGATGTGAAATTGAGGAGCCCAATCATCCATTTCTCCTATTTCCTTTTGTTTTTTTAAAGAACAACACGTGATGTTGGCTCTAGCTAGGGAATGTTGTTGGGACGGTGTAAAGCTTTAATTAGTTCATTTTATTACACACTTATTAAAAAAATTTCCATTAAGATGATGTGCATTTTAAATATGAAAAATGTTGATATATATAGATTTATGGATTCGTTTTAGCACACACTTACAGATTAGCCATTTAGATGATTTACATTTTAAATATGAAACATGTTGATATATTAATGGATTCTGTAGTTCATAATTTTTATCACTAGTGGACTCCTTTTAGAAAAATTATTCTTTCACACCCTCTTTGTGTAGTGCTCAAGCCTTGAGCTCATTGGATTGAAAATCCATAAAACGTCTTCCTTGCAAGTTTCATCAAGGCCCGTAGATTCACTAAAATCGATTCACTTATAAGAATTTTGCAATCTTATATATCCTTATATATTCATATTTTCTCGTATATCATTTTATTAATTTTTTTTTCACAAAAATATCTTTCAATATTTGAAAAGAAACTTTTGATCAATTAACCCATATATACATCGTATGCATCCATAATGTGAACTTCATACCAAATGGTCCCATTCTACCCACCAAAACACTAACAAAGGTTAATGGTGGGGTGAAGTTGTTTTACAATTAGAGAAGGAAATCTAGAATAAATCTCTCCGCCTTAAAAAAAATTTTAGTGGATGTCCCTCTACCAAGATTATGATGGCAACTAATCCAATATAATATGATGTTATAATACTGATATGTTTAGAATAATAGAGAGAGTAGCCGTAGCTCAAAGGATTCATCTCTTTTTTTCTCAGTAATTTGCCAATCTACAGGATATGGAGGCGTTCGTCATCCTCCAAACAAGCCCTTTACTCAAGTGATCACATGACAAAGTGTGCTCATTATAATTTAATTTGAATTGTCCGCATGCCACAAAACTAGAATGAGATTAGGTGATGTTAAATGATTGACTATAACGTCAAGCTGCCCCAGAAGAGATCAGGAGATATGTAAGGACAAGATTTATGCAAATGCAATGAAACAATTGTGAGCCATGCTATCCTCTACACATTGAATGATTTTGATTGTAACTGCGAACAATATAGGCACGTATATGTGGTGTCTCTTTTTATGTAGTTGATCAAATCTAGCCTCTTCACATTTGGATCCTGCATTCTTCAATTTTTTATTTGTTTATTGAGATCTTCAATTTTTTTTTAGTTTGATTGAAATTTTAAATTTTTTAAAATTATTTACTTCAAATCTTATGTTATAACATCACCAATTAATAATCAAAATTTTTTGTTATAACATCATCAATTGATGATCAATATATGACATTATAAAATAAAAAATTTCAAAAAATAAAAATGATGTGTTCAGCTGATCGATAGTATTACAACCAAGGATATGAAGTAAAAAAAATTAAAAAATATATATAAAATTTCAATCAAACAAAAAAAAGATTTCAATAAAAAAAAAATCAAAGAATAAAGTTCTAAATATACCAAAAAATATATATAAATTATAAGGCCGGTTCTGCTTCTTCACACACCGCACACGTCTTACTTCTATCTCATCTCGTATTTGAATAATATATCACATACTTAGCCATGGTTTCACTTTGCACCCTCAAGCAGATTAAACATTATCATAATGATATTCCTTCATAATGGACCAACCCTTTCGATGAAATGTGTCCTTAACGTAGTCATGTCATTGGATGGCAAGGGAATCTAGCTAGCCAGGCATCTTCCATGGACTTTATCTTTTATGGGCTATTATTTTTATTTTACCTCTAATTTTCTATATGATGCATTTCCCTAGTAATCAAAAGTTGAGTTTTCGCTTTTTTTTTTTTTTCATTTTACTATAATAATGTTGAATTTGTTAGTGGACGCGGCTGCTTGGAAACGCAAGCAGTTCAATCATTGCCTGCTTGAACTTGGCAGGAAAATGAGTGTTTACGAAGTGAGACAACAGTGGCAGAATTAGTGCACCCCAACAAAGAATCAATCTTTTCTTTACAAAACCAATGGCTTCTTGGTAACTACACAAAAGCAACTTCTTTGTTCTAATCCAGGCACTGTACAACTTCAACTTTTCTCCTATAAATGCAAACCCTTCGATCAATCCCATTATATTGCACCAATCAAAAAACAAAAAACAAGAGAGATAAGAAATTAAGAGGAGAGGGAGTACTTATTGGAAATGAGGCCTCTTACCAACTCAACAACAGTAGGTGGTGCTCATGGGGGATTCTGGCATTGGAATTCACCTGTTGCATACGTCTTTGTTGGTCTAGCACTCATGTTGGGGCTAATCACGGTAGCTTTGATAATTCTTGCTTGTTCTTATAGCAAATCTTTGTCCAATTCATCAAGAAGTGAGGGTGAATTAGTTGAAAAACCAGCGAAGCAAGTGGAAATACAGGTTGATTTTGAGCCAAAGATTGTTGTCATCATGGCTGGGGATGAGAATCCTACATGCCTGGCAAAGCCTGTTTCTTGCAACAGCCACATCAGTGAACAAGTTTAGGGAATGATCTCTAGGTAGCAATCTAGCTTCAATTTTGAAACTGAAGAGAAGAGTAGACGACAACCTCTTCTTGCACTTCTTTTTGTTTTTCAGTGCTTCAGTTTTGAAACTGAAGAGAAGACACCCTCCTTTTGTAGTTCTTTTTGTTTTTTCAGTGCTTCAATTTTGGCCCTCTTTTTTTTATGATTTTGCGGGAGTATGTAACATGATGAGTATAAAAGTTGAAGGATGCTATATGTCTAGGTGCTACACAAATCCTTCTTTCTTCATTTCCAGTTTTCTTGGTTATGAGGTTTTCTTATTGCTTTCTTTCACTGTTTCTTTCATCTGAATAATTAGTGAATCAATGATCCAGCAGTTTGTCAAATTCGCTGACTCTTAACTATTTTCTAAAAATTGGACTTGTGCTTTACCCCTAAATTTAAGGAAAGTGGGATGCTAATACGATGTGTTATGCTTCATTTAAGAGCAAAAAGAAGAAAAAGAAAAACAACAGAGAGAGATAGAGAGGAAGGGTTGTCATTGCTATTCAAGTAAACAGACAAGGTAGCTAATCTTCAATACTTGATCATCAAAGCCTTCAGAATCAGGTTGGAGTTTGTTCACAGATTAATCAGCTAGGTCACCAGCGCAAGGACCAGAGAATAGAATGTAAAGTTTTGCTGGATCGATATTTGTCAATTTTATCTTTTGTGGGTCATTATCTGTCATACATCAAATGACAGCTAAATACACCTCGAGTTCCGAAATGTTCAAGGTTTCACGTCTTGATCCGCTTAGAAGCGGAACCAACAAAAAAACTGAAGCCCACGTAAAACGGAGTAAATTATACATCAGTACCTCTAGTTTTTCAAAAGGAATTGAATAGTATACTTAGTTTCAATAACTAAATAATTAGTCCCTTTTTTAAATCTATCTGTACATTCACATTCTATTTCAATTTATTTTATCTTTTGTTTTAAAAAAATATAAAAATATAAGTAAAAAATATATAAAAAAAATTAATGAGAAAAGAAAATACTTTTTTGTGGTCAACAAACTAATTAATTGGTTTTTAAAACAAAAGACTACTTAATTTATTTTGCAAAGCTAGATGACCTAATTTATAATTTACTTTATGAAATGTACAAATGATAATAATTAGGGGGAAGCTATAAATACGTACTTATAATATTATGTTACTTCTCAATTATATATTTTTATTTAAAAAAAAATCAATGATCAATTATAACGTTTAGGATGTCATTATTCTCTAATACATATATTTTTTTGTCAATTATTTTATTAAAATTAAAATTCATAATATATAATATATAAGGATATATTTTTATAGATTTCTCTCATAATTACGATATAAATTAATGGATCCGTCCTTAAATCGCCAGCAAAGAGCCCCTTAAAATCCACACTTGGAGAGTACTGTAGAGGTAACGTGGATGTAGGAACAATATCTTTTTTGTGTGGAATAAGGCAACTGCAAAGAATTATTTTAAGTACCACTTAGGGTCAATAAAAATAAGAGAGGGAGAGAGATTGCAATTGATTAGACAACGAAAAATGACCAAAACTGTTGGGTGACATCTATAAGAGAGAGAGAGAGAGAGATTGCAATTGATTAGACAATGAAGAATGATAAAAAATTGTTGGGTGACATCTATATCATCTTCTTGGGCTTTAGTCAATCATATCGGATACAATTGCAAGATAAAATTGCAGTTTGGTCTTCAAGGTTTAACCTTCCAGTCCTATAAACTAAAAAGGTAATTCGGCTAACCACAAAATGGTATCCTACAGATAAGAAAACATCGAATTGTAGGCTATTTAGTCTTCAAGGTTTAACCTTCCTATCCCATAAATTAAAAAGGTAATTCAGCTAAACCCAAGATGGTAGACACTGGTAAACAATCATTGATTTATAAGTTATGTCCAGAGTTTGATCCTTATAGTCAGCATTCTTAATAATTTATTTTTAAAATACCCTGCTCTAAAGATATCCTTACAGCTGAAAAAAAAAATAATTTAGCTTTTTCTTTTATGATATGGGAAAGGCTAAAAGTTTAAAATTTTGAAATTTTCAGAGAGAGAGAGAGAGAGAGAGAGGAAATTAAGGAAAAACAAGGGTTTTTAGGGAGAAAAGAGTTTAGAGTAAGTGTGAATTGATGAGGAGTGGATGAGTGGAGTTTTGTGGTAGTTTTGGGTGGGAGAAAGACGGACGAATGGAGGAGAAGAAGGAAAGGAAAAAGAAAGGGGGGGGGGGGGGAGAAGAAAAGAAAATGAGATTTAATTAGGGATATACGATCCGATCGCTAATTAGTCACTATTTAGCGACGGACATAATCGTCTATCCCTAAGCCATCGTTAAATAAATAGCTTTTTAATTTCAAAATGTCGCCTTTTTTTTTAAGAATTAGCAAGGGATATAGTCCTTTAGTGATGGATCTATCTTCACTAAAGAAAAAAACTAAAAATAGTGATGGACATAATAACCCGTTGCAAATTTTCGTAATAATTTTGTCCTTAATCCTTCACTAAAACACTCGAAAAGATTTTGGTGTCAAAAATAGCGACAAACTTTCATTCGTCGGTGATAAACCATCGTCAAATCATCTCTATTTTGTTTTTAAATACTATAGACGCTATTTACCCGATAGATTATAGCCCATCATTAAATCCCAATTTTATTGTGGTGTTGTATATAGTTATTAAACCAAAATGATTTTTATGTTATCATTCTAAGCATGAGAATTAAAAGCATGTAGCCTTTATAAAGAATAGGGATTTGAGGGGGAAAAAGAAACAAATGAATCAATTTTAAGATTTTTGTTTTCAAAAATGTACAAAATAACGGCTTTAACGCCCGTAATGGCTGTGAGGACAATAAAATTTCAAAACTTGTTATAAAATAAAATATAATATAATGGAATGTCAAAAATCTGTTATGTAATGGGTGTAACGGTCTATTTGTATAACTATAGTCTCATAAGATAGATTCATTGAGAAATGAGTAAATTATTATTTGATTCCTATGTTCTTAGTGATATAATTAGTTAATTCCTTCAATTGAAAAAACTCAATATAGAATTCCTATGCTCAATTAGTTAAATATTCCTTTGACAATCAAGTTTCCAGCCCCATCTACAACTAACAAAATTTAAAATGCCATTTGAAATGACAATGTAGAAATTTCAAAAAAAACAAAAACAAAACAAAAAAAAAAAAAAACCAACTTTGATCAAGAAATTAACCTACGATATGAAAACCAGGAAACTAACTTACAAAATAATCAAATCCATATATGGGAACTACAATACAATTTACTCTTTAAAATTCTACCCTGAAAACAACATTGTTACCATTTATAAAAATGTAAGAGTTGGTCAATCGCCACTGCTAAAAGTATAAATAAGAAATGTTGAAGTGGATCCTGCGGAAACATTTAAAACTAAAATAAGATGGCTTACCTTATTTCTCACTTGTCTTCAATTATCTGAAACGGTCGCCCAATGGGTCATTAAGAACATTTTGTTGCATTATTAGCCAACTATCGTTGATAAAAGGGAGAAAACTTGTGTTTTATCCGCCTTCTGGATAAGGATAACAAATCAGGTGGCCGCTCAAACATGTATTTTCTTTACTGTTACTGTGGAATGGCAAAAAGAATCGAAAAGCTGTGTGAATGGACAAAACAAAAGTAAGTAGAAAGATATTGTTTGTTTAAACTACAGGGGATAAGTCTAAAAGGGAAGTGCATTTCCACATCAATGAAATTTGCAATTCCACTATGTAATATGTACAATTAAAATATATTTGAACAACCTATCGATTGGAATTCTTACTTATTGAAGTTCTTTGGCATTGATTACAGCTAGGGTTCCTTTCTCTACCTTAGAGGAAAAGGACGCACATTTTAGTCATGGCAGCATGTGAAAATCATCATATTGCGTGGAACCATGTTAGGCTGTATGGCCTTATTAACCCTATTGGCATGTTACGTATTATTTCTTTCAATATTTACAAATCGTCAATTTTCAAGGATTTATCTTCCTCTTTTTCCAATGATTCATAGAGCTAACTATAGCGTTAGATGTGATAATTATGAAGGCATGGATACATCCTAATGCAAATTAGATGATCACAATATAACAAGGGTCAGGCGGCCTTTATCATGATTAAATAGTTTACTGTTTGCTTAAAGAAATTAGGAGAAACGTCTGGGTTAATTAAGTGGAAGCTACTATAAATACTTGGAATTTGATTGAAGCACAACTCAGAGTGTCTAAGTGGGTTTCTAGTAATCTTTGAAATGTTTTCTTCGTTTTTCTGCAGGAAAATTATTCCCAAGGACAGAGTCGTTCCACTACAACTTCTCGGTGGGAGACATGCATGTGCTCTTCATTACTTTCAATAAGGAATTTCCCTCCTCTCCAACTCAATCATCTAGTAGTTCAACTATATATATATATATATATAAAAGCTGTTTTCTCTTTCTCCTTCTTATCATTTTTTCTTGTTTTCTAGTCTTTTCTTTCCTTTTCCTTTTTATTTATTCCATAAGAAATGTGAATAAGAACTTCATTAAGCAAGTTATATATTTCACTACCAAAAAAAAAAAAAAAATTCATTAAGCAAGCTATATATATATATTATACAAGCTGTTTTCTCTTTCTCCCTCTTCTTCTTATCATTTTTCTTGTTTTCCAGTCCTTCCTTTCTTTTTTCTTTTTTTTTCCTTTTTCTTTTTATTTATTCTATAAGAAATGTGAACAAGAACTTCATTAAGCAAGTTATATATTTCACTACGAAAAAAAAAATCATTTAGCGACGGTTTAAACTGTCGCTAAATGTAAAAACCATCGCAAAAAACCTTTTCGCTAATTAATTAGTGATGGTTTTTGACAATCCGTTGCTAAATAATTGAAAAAGATCACCAATTCGAGTGACGGTGTTCCATAACTATCGCTAATTATGGCCAAAGTGAGAGGATTTAGCGATGGTTTTAAACCATTGCTAAATCATTTTATTTTATTTTATTTTATGATATTTTCAATTAATTATGCCTTTATAATATATAAATTCCAATCCAATCAAATATTAAAGTGTATTAATATTCTAGCAAATAAAAACATAAGAGTGATAAAAATATATATATTGTGATGAAGAAGATACATGTCATCACATATTAGGATTTTCATCGGATGCATGATATTTAGTCGAATGATTGGTTGGTGAATTACCTCTGCTACATTTGCTACATCATCGTATATTACTCCTAATTTTGCTACTCCAACCACTTTTGACTTCCCGAGAGGGATGTAATAGTACCTTTAAGGTCCTTGATCTCTTTTTCATATCTAGCATTTTTGGGCTCCATTTCCTTTCGAAATTTATCATTAATATGGACCACGATGTGGTCGAACTAGATGATGAACCGACATAAGAGTAATAAGGAGAGGTCCGTGACCCGAGTCCGTACATTCTTTTCCTCTTATCGTCTCCTCCTCCAACATCTCTCTTAAATATCTCATTCATGTTGATGTCGACCGATGAAGAACCCTTCGTCCCCCGACTAGCAACCTTCTCCTCAAATATTTTATCGACGATGTCATACAAAATTATATAAATTTTAATATTAAATAGTAATTTCAATAAATTATATAAAAGCGAGCATACATATGAGGTAAGTTTATAAATTACTTATCCCGAGATTTTTTTCTCATTGATTGATGAATACGTACTTATCACCAACCTTCTTCCCATGAGTCTTCAAGAACACCTCATAAGCATCAAGTTCGTGACCTAACTCCTAACGTTGAAAAAAATATACTTAAATGTTTATTGATGTTACAATAATTACAAATAACAAATTATATATATATATATATATAATAGGATTTACCATACATATTGTGTGCTCCTTATGGGTGATTGAACCTCCCGTATGTCTAGATGGGCCAACCCTAATGCCACCCTTCTCGCTCATATGGTTTCGGGCCACCTACTCGGATTAGGCACGAGATTCGGGTTTTCCTCATTCCTTTTACTATGCATCTTATATCTTCCGTGATATATATGTTGATTTAGGGTATCTCTTCACCTATAAAGGAAGTTGGAATATTGCTTTTATGTGAGACTCTACCATGATTTCCTAATGCTTCGATCAAACTCCCGATCCCACATAAAAGACTTCGTAAAAAAATTAAAAATATTCATTAATACATATAAATGAGCATTAATGTTTCTTAATTTAAATATATTATAACATAATTAATTAAGCTACGAACTACCTTAAACTCCTCCTAATAGAACTTTTTAGTTTGCTCGGTAATTAACTTCCACGTCATTTAGAATAGGTCAACATACTTATGGAATATCTTATAGATCTAACAAAAGCACATATCGGATAGATACAAGCTATCAAACAAGACAATTAATGATTAAATGAATGTATAAATATGATAATATACTAAAACAATATTTAAAAATGTGCTTAATATGTACTCCTTGCCATCAACGAGAGTAATCAAAATGCGAGGATCGTAAGTAAAACCAACAAGTGTAGAAGACAAACTAATAGGGACGTATGAAGATGATCCATATGTAGGAACCTAACGATTATCGTATTAGGAAAAGTGCCTTAATGAGGACGAAAGTTTAGAAGTTTAGGGACATGGAGGTCCATACTGATAGGGACTTGGGGGGGGGGGGCATCGACCTGGAATGAAAGAAGTACTACACCCACTTCCACAATCACTACCATCGTCAATATCCGAACCACGACCCTCACAATATGATATGAGCCACTACACGTGAGAACGTCCCCTACCACAAGGCATAACAACCTACACATTATCACATTAATTAGTTAATAAAACATAATAACTATAAAACATTTATATTACAATAAACTACTTTAAATGAATTTATTTTGTTATCAACAAATAATTTTATAATTAAATTAAAATACACACTCACACTCACACACACACACAATATATATATATATATATATATATATATATATGAATGAATGATACCTTAACAATTTCAATTAAACTGTGAGGATAATCAAACTTTACCACTAATAACTATCTCGATCATCATTGTTAAAATTTTTATTTAAGTCTTCTTCAACATCTAATTAAACCAAATATTTAAACTAACACCTAATTAAATTTTTTAAACAATTAAATAACTTAATTAACACTTGATTAATTATTTTAAACAATATTTTAATATTTTAATTAACAACTATTTGACTTAATTTAACAATTAAAAAAATTAATTAACAACCAAATTGATTAAACTAACAACTAATATTTTTTTGAATAATATTTAAATTTTTTAATTAACAACTAATTTACTTATTTTAGCAACTACAAAAAGTTAATTAACAAACAAATTAACTAAACTAGCACCTACTTAATATTTTTAAACAATATTAAAGTAATTAAATTAAAAACTAATAAATTTATTTTAAAAATCAAATAAATAACTTAATTAAAATCAAATAGTTAAACTAACACCTAATTAAAAAATTTTAAAGAAATAAATAATTTAATTAACAAATAATTAAGTTACATTAATTAATAACTTAATTAATACATAATTAATTAACATAACAAGTAATTAATTATTTTAAATAGGAATTAATGTTTTAATTAAATAATTAAATAATTTAATTAAAGATGAATTAACTTAATTTAATTAACAACTAAATAACTTAATTAACACATAATTAAATAAACTAATACTTAATTAATTTTTTAAACAAATAGTTAATTTAATTAACAACTAAATACAATTAACACATAATTAAATAAACTAACACTTAATTAATGTTTTAACAAAATTTATTTAATTAACAACTAAATAACTTAATTAACACATAATTAGATAAAATAGCTCTTAATTAATTTTTTAACAAATAATTAATTTAATTAACAACTAACAAATGAACTTTAACAACATAAAAAATTAAATTAACTAACAATTAACAAATAAATAATGAAACAAAAAATATAAAATTATTTAAATAAATGGTAAACAAAATTCAAGAGTTACCAATTTCACCAATGGAGGAGGAAAGAGGGAGGAGCTACTGCCAACTCATGATTTAGAGGAGGAGGAGGCTGCTGCTATTGCACTATTCACGAAGAAGAGGAGGGAAAGGAGAAGGAGAAGGAAATGAGAGAAAAAAGAGGAAAAAGGAAGAGAAGGAGGGGAAGAAGAAAAGAAGAGAGAAGGGGAGTTTTGAGGACCTACTAGCATCAATGGAGGAAAAATGGGGGAGGTGGAGCTACTAGAAAAGAAGAAGAAAAGAGAAGATAAGAAGAAGAAGAAATAGGGAAGAATCTAGCAGTAGCTATATTTAGGGATTTTTTTTTTAGCAATGATTTTCGGTCCATCGCTAAAACTTATATATTTTTTGAATTCTTTGTTTCCCCTAAATGGTAACAAATTAGTGACGGTTTTAATCAAACCATCGCTAAATACCAATTTTTTCATCTACTTTTAACGATGGTTTTTTTTAAAAAAAAACCATTGCTAAAATCCTATATTTTTAGGGGTTTTAGCATAAGGATTTTAGCGATGGTTTTATGAAAAATTGTCACAAAAATCTCCCAATAAGTCATTTTTTGTGACGGTTTCCATAAAACCATCACTAAAAACCTTTTTTTTTTTTTGGAATTAGCGATGCTTTTCTAGATCGCTAATTCCCAAAAAAATGAATTTTTAGCGATGGTTTAGTTGAAAACCATCACTAAAATCCTACAATTTTTCCAAATTTGTGACGGGTTAT